AAAAAAATAAAATAAATAAAAAACATAATATACCGAAACCTAACTGAACGATAAAAATATATACGAAATATTATAAAAAATGTAATACAAAAAAATAATATTTAAAACGAAAAATATGTAAAAAAAAGTATATATATAAAAGATATAAAAAAATATGATATGAAAAATAAAATAAATAATAAATATGAAATAAAAATACATATACCATATAATGAAAAATATATAATTATCAAAATATAAAAATAAATTTTTAATATTTTTATATATATATCAATATAAAAAAAATATAAAACAAAACTATGTACAATGGAATTTAAGAATAAAAACTGTTTTGTAGAAAAATCAGTGTATTATTAATTTGAGTTGTGTTATATGACTTACATTGGACCCGGTTAACTTAAATTTTAAACGCAAAATCAATAAAAAAAAAGATCAATAAAAACAAACTATATAAAAAGATTTCTAATAATACAAAAAAATATTAAAAAATAATTAGAAAAAATAAAAAAAATAATTAAAAAAAACATAATAAATAAAAATAATAAAAATAATGACATAAAACATAATAAATAAAAAATTATGTCTAAAAACTTATAAGATAATCAAATAAAAAAAATATATAAAAAATGATACAAAAAAAATATAATATAAAAAAATTTTGAAAAAAAATATGAAAAAAAATGATGTGAAAAATAATTATAAAAATTAATAAAATATGTGAAAAAGAGCGATGTGAAAAATAACAATAAAAATAAATAAATTTAAAAAAAATATAAAAAAGTAATTACATTGCATGCCATATATCTGCATTAGATTAAACTATGAAATCCTGTTTAACCAAGTTGAACTATATTTTAGAGTAACATAGATATAATAGATAATTTTATAAGCTACTAACATTGAATAAACTCAAACTTGCATTATTGATGAAATCTAAGTGCTCCTTCAAATTTACCACTCAAACTGTATATTATTGGCCTTGCCTTTATGCACATTCAATTGTGTGCGGTTATAAAAATAATTTCACTGATTGACTGACGTTCTGCACATCAATAAAACTCATAAATAGCCAATCAGCAATGTTTAGGTTAAAGGTTGAAACAAATCTCTGCGCTACATATCATAGCCATAATATCTCATTACCCGCACAACTACTCGTAGAGGTTCTCTACTGCTCGAGCATCCTTCGCATTCGGCATTCGCAATAAAGCAGAGACTCGACGAATATGTGCCACTATAAACCTTAATGCCAACGTTAACATTTACGTTGCGTTACGTTACGTTAACGTAATCGCAAAGGCCAGAAAGCAAAGAAATACAAAAAAGAGAATAATTAGCCTTTGATTACCTAGCAGCATCGTTTCACGTCGTTAATTTACTCCTTGGCCTATTTGCGGCCGCATTATGTTGGCTATAAAATCCTTTGAGTTACTGTTACCGCACGTTAATTGAACTGGCGGCGAACAAAAAAACTGCAAAGCATTCTCTGCTTGATCGTTCACGGATTCTTCTTATTGCAGATACATTAATTTTTTTTATTTTCATTACTCTATATTTCCGTACATAATGTAATTTTTATACATTAATTTAGCTAATTTCTTCAGTAATAAACTGAACTACTTTCCGCTGCTGACGTTGCATTTTTCCCAACTCCTGATTTCAAATAATTTCTCTGCCTTCACTATTAATACATTTGCACTAACAAGCAATTCATAGGAAATAAAATTGATTATTAGATACATTAACTTGCCGCTAATTAATAATTTAAGCCCTTATGATACCTTGTTAATGTTAATATTGAAAAGTAATTGATTGCATTTCATTCCGTATTAGCCAGCCAGCCAAGTGAGGAAAATGCGATTGATTATCGCACATTGTTAGAATTATATATAAATGAGGATATATTTATCCTCTGTACGTATGTAAAACAACTTTCTTCATGAGTAAAAAAATCAATCAATATGATAGAAGCACTAAAAATTTAATAGTTTTTTCATAAATTTTTATAGTCGTCATCATCACTTCGAAGTATAAAAACGAAAGACTAAAGTTTGACATTCTAATTCCCACAGAAAACTCATTTGAAATTTTGTCTTTAGCAATAGAGATTCAGTAAATAAAATTTATGCTACAGTTTTTTTAAAGATGCTTATCTTTCACCTTAGCATCTTGGCATCTTTACATGGTCATTTACGTGGACATCCTTACCCCATACATAACTCATTTTAATTCTGATTATCACATATGTTACCTATCACAATATTTTATACATAATATATTATCGTAATGATAGTAATAATAACAGGACCGGTTAATATATTACGTCTTCCAAAGTAAACTCCAGTTAGCAGATAACTGGAGGTTTGAACACACAAATAAACAAATTCAGACTTAAAGCCTATATTTCAAATCTATTCAGGTATTGTTTTAGGTATTACAAACCCGTACTATGTATTAGGTTTTTTTTTTTTTTTTTTTTTTTTTTAAATTGTTTTATTATTATATATGATTTTAAAGAACAATAAATAAAACAAAACAAGACATAAAGCAACTAGTTATTAGATAACTAACAAGCAATTTAAATTTAAATAGATTAGGCGATTCCACGCAATAATAAATTAATTGTACTATATTTCAATGATTTAAGCCCAAAGATCGCACGGCTTTCGGCGCTTTAGACGGCGTATTGGCTCAGTTGTCGCTAGTAAATGCGCCTCAGCATTTATGTGACAACTAAGTCTATCTTGGTGTGATTTGGCTTTGGTATGAATTTCTTCCTGTACTGTTGTCACTCCAAGGTCACGATGTAAGTCAGAATTTCTCACGTACCATGGCGCGTTTGTTACACTCCGTAGCATGAAATTTTGGAATCTTTGGATGATGGAAATTTGTGTTCTGCTTGCGCAACCCCATAGCTGTATTCCATATGTCCAGATTGGCTGGAGCATTTGTTTGTATAATACAAGTTTATTGAAAAGCGATAGTTTTGATTTTTTGCCGATTAACCATTTCAACGATTTGAATTTAAGATCTAATTCACTTCTTTTCTTTTTTATGTGCTCGCTCCATCTTAGTTTAGCGTCCAAAGTCATACCCAAGTATTTCGCAGTATTCGCGTGAGGGATTTGTGCTTCATCGATGTAGACAGGTATATGACTGATGTTTCGATTTGTGAAATTTACATGCACTGATTTTTCTTTATTCAGATTAATTTTCCATTTTTTTGTCCAAGCAATTATACTGTCCATACTATTTTGCAAATTATTAGCTGCTATTACTGCGCTTTCTCCAACTGCAAGGACTGCAGTATCATCAGCAAAAGTTGCTGTGAACGTTGTTGCACTCGTTGGCAAGTCGTGTGTATAAATCAGATATAAGAGAGGACCCAAGACACTACCTTGCGGAACTCCAGCGTTAATTTTATGCAGTTTACTATAGGTATCACCGTGCTTTACTCGAAAGTAACGATCAGATAAGTAAGAGGAGATTATGTCATAATACTCCGTTGGGAGAATATTTTTTACTTTGGTAAGCAATCCGGAGTGCCAGACTTTATCGAAAGCCTGCGATGTATTAGGTGGATATATACCCTGCTCTTCTAGATAGCACTTAAAATATTTCAACAGTTAGGTTTTTGATCATCTCGCAAGGTAATAATTTTTTCTAAAAAAGCCAATATTAACATTGCTATAGATATAGTTAACACATATAGAAAAAAAACTAATGAATCTATCAACGTTTCGCAAGTTCCTTGAGTAGTATGAAAATAAAAACAATTGTCATCATCTAGAGCCCAAAAATATTTCTATTATATATTATATCACCTTTATAAGTATATGTGTAGTAGAAGAAGTGGACTCTTCATCTTACGAGAGAGATTTCGAGATACGGTAGAGAGCGCATTAGAATATTCATTAAAGCGATCTAAATTGCAATATTAATAAATTCCTACTATTACAAAACCATATAAGGTAGAAGTATCTTCTTATCTATTTATATCTGACATAAATAAAAGTTCAAGTTTGGAAAATAGGTGTATGTTAACATCTTTGCCGTAGTACAGTAGTTTGCAAAAAAAAAAATCAATAAAAAAAGAACTAGATTGGACAATATTTCCTACAAACGATTTACCAGAAGGGAAATTAATAAAAATTGTTTTTAAAAAATCGGAAAAATATTTTTCTTAGTTATTATAAATAATACAAATTAATTTCTAAAATTCATTATTTTTTTAGTTTTTTTCAGATAGTATACAACTACTACTCGCCTTCGTTCAAATTTTGATTTGAGATTTTGACAAAAACCCACCGGGCAGTTATAATACAGGGAAAGCCAGGTGGTAGGTAAATCATTATTATATATGAAAATAATGTTTAAAAATTAAATAAAAAAATCGGTGTTCCTTGACAATATTTTCGTAATCCCGTGAAATATTAGGAAAGCTGTTTATATATTGGATATATAAAGTTATTATAATATTTACTGAAATTCACTGTTATTGGGTATTAGTTATACTAAATCAGTAATGATAATTTTATTTCTGAATGCCACCACTCATTCCCATTCACCACGTTTAACAAGTTTATATACTTAAAAGATATTACACTTAAGTTCATTGAAGTTTTTAATGCCAATAAACTACTCAAATACACAAGTTCTAAGTTATAGATATTAAGGAACGTTCTTTTAATTTTCAGTCACGGCAAAAATGGGGTTATGCAAATATTGCAATAAAAACTTTGATGAAAATCTATTGGCTAAGCACGAATCAGTTTGCGCTAACTAAAGCACTGTAACGAGAAAAATTTTTGCCCCGTCAAAATCTCGGATTAATATTGTGGAAAGCTTAATGCGCAATGCTGTACATTCCAAATCGGAGTCTTGTAACAACTGGCGAGCACTTCTCGCAAATGTTGAAGAAGCAAGAACGGTCCAATCATTCACACCTTGGGGAAGTGCTGAAAACCATCACACAAGGACATATCCAAAACGCATATTCCATTTTGCGAGAGCGCAGTATTTGCACCTGCCACCGAAAAAGGTACAAAAAAATTTGAAGTAGGTTTCGATTCCAAGAAGTGCCAGTGAAGTGATTCTAAATGGTTCCGGCCCAGACGCAGATATTTGATCAAAACTATATAAAAAAGTACACATAATCTAAACTATGATTAATGTATATATACCAGTGACATGATAAAAGATTAAATATTAAAATATGTGCAGATGTGCTTTATCCTTTAGTAAAAGGTAAAAATAGTTATTACATATTGCAATCCCGCAAAATTGGTAACTACTTTTAATAATTATTTTTTTTAGTGTATATAACATATTATTAAGGATCATGAAATAACCATAGCTTAAAATGTACATGGTAGAATCATATAACATATATACAAGTGGTAATAATTAATATTTTGCCAGAAAAATAAAAAATTCTAAAAAAATTAATTCCACTATAAAAAATAAATATATATACACCAAAAAAAAAAATGAAGCGTTACTTTCTAGTAAGTAGAAATTGCCATTGTATTTATCATATTAAGTAATATAAATTCATTAATATTTAAGTTAATTAATTTTATTTTCAGTATACATAATATAACAAGTCCAAATATAAAATTAGAAGTGAAATAGAAATACTTAAACATATATATTTAAAAAAAATGTTGCTTAATTAAAGAGGTAAGAATTGTATTCAAATTTCTGAAATTGATTACAATTGGACCGATCTTTTTTAGTTGATCAATCTTAATCACATGGATGACTTGATTTTTGAAATTGATTACAATTGGACCGATCTTTTTTAGTTGATCAATCTTAATCACATGGATGACTTGATTTCTGAAATTGATTACAATTGGACCGATCTTTTTCAGTTGATCAATCTTAATCAAATGAATGACTTGATTTCTGGAATTGATTACAATTGGACCGATCCTTTTTAGTTGATCAATCTTAATCACATGGATGACTTAAATACTATAAGTAATAAGTATTGCCTTGTATCTATAGCAAGAAAATGGTAAAGTAGAGGCACTACTTAACAAAAAAGGTATTAAGAATTATTTTGGTATCTATAAAATTAATTATAACTTTAACAATCTTTTTAGTTGATCAACCAAAAACTGGTGCTCTTATAAGCTCGCACAAACAACTAGCTTACTATGAGTGGTAAACTAGAGGGAACTACTCTATAAACTGGAAATTAAAATTTACAGTTCTAAAACGTTTTCTACAGAGGTAAATATTTTTAAAAAATCTTCAATATTGCTGTCAATTTATTTTTTTTCAGAGTTTGCGAATGCTAAAGAGTGACTCAAACGTTCTTTATTATTAAAAGTAAGAGTTTTTATTTTAATTTATAAATTGATAAAAAAATTTGATCATATTTATTTCAGAGTTTTTATAAGAAAAATTATGAGTACGAATTAACAAAACTAATTCCACTAATCGGATAATATAAAGACCGCTACTTATATGAGGTCATATACTATTATATTAAAGTATGAAAAACTTTATTAAATTTATAAATTGATAAAAATTATAAATCATTTTTTTTTTTAGTGTAAATAGTAATGAGTATAATTTATAAGACCACTGCTTGCGATAAATTCATCAATGGACTTTTTGATTGTTGAAAATCTATTCCACTAATTGAATAATTTATAAGACCACTGCTTATATATATAAGATCACTATATGAGGTAAAAAAACATAAAATTTATATTACAATACAATAATAAAATTTATATTATAATATAATACATTTATATGTAATTTGTAAAATTGATTTCTATTTAAGTGCATATAATTGAAAAAATTTTTTTACGTTTTATAATAAACGTCAAATTTTAAAATGGATTTTTTTATTGTTGAAAACCTATCCAATACTTAAATGGGACCAAAAATAATTAAAAGTGAGAATTATTATTGTATTTTAAAATTGATCAAATAAACTTTATTTTATTTTTACAGTGTATATAATGAAAAAATATGCGAGTACAATATAATATTTAATGAATCTTTCATCTATGATTTAATTAATAATAGTTCATTCCACGAGTTAGATCACTGCTTTCTATACTTATAAAAATATATAAAAATCCCGGACGTGTCTTTTTATTGTTTGAAGTCCTATGCTAACTAATAGGCTTCAAAGGTGATAACTTTTTATTTTCTCTTACCAGCGATGTCTTACCGGATGTGTTTAATAAATGATTGCGGAGACTATGCTAATTAGGTCCCGATGATGATTAAAAATTCTCTTTAGGAATTGTCATTACCCCAATATTTTTTTTTATGAATCTACCGAGATATTGTGCATGATTAACTGGATTAATTGTTAACTGGGCTCGAAGAAGAACCATTTCCTACCAGTGGTAACTATCTACAGTTAAAAACACAAACTATATTATATATATATGTATATTATAATATTACACATTATAGCAACTAAACTGGTATGAGTACTATAATTTTGGAATCGGAATCGACAATAAAGGTGGTAGGTGCGTTAATGTCAAATACTGTCAAAATGTGCTAAAGGAATTCTCGTGAAGGTTTGTAAATATATCAAACAATATTATTATATATATAAGTATATATATTATTATAATATTATACATTATAGCAATCAAACTGGTATTAGTACTAGAAATTTAGAATTGGAATCGACAATGAAATGTGCTAAAGCAAGTCCTATAGAAATGTGTGGATGTATTTACTAAAATAAATACCCAAAACTCGAAGAACAACAAATTAAATATTTGTTAAAATAATGTACCAGTTCAAATGAAATAACTATTTGGGTTGTGCAAAATTAATAGTAAACAATAAATTTTTCAAGCAATATATATGTTCTTCATTTTATAAAATAAAAAGCATTCTTATAACTAGGAAATCATTAGCTGTATATCATATATCATTTTTTAGTAAGCAACAGAAATTGCAAATTTATTTAAAACAGAGTTTTAAATAATCGAAATATGCTGACGTCCGGGAGGCAGATTTGTAAGCCTTTCGTTTGACGCTATAAGAGGTGTGACAATCATACCATATCAGGTTGGGTCCTAAGCAGGGCTCATTGATTTTGATGCACGATGCTTAATGGTCGACAACGGTCTCAAACAATACTTTCTAGAACTGATCGTTATAATTAGTTAATGGTTCAGTTTTCTTTATGAGAATATTTTTAAAACAACGCTGAATGCAGTTAAATTCGTCGTTCAGTTCTGAACTACTTAAAGTAGTCTAGACAATACTTTTTTATGATTTTAATGGAGAGAAATTATATATTTCTTATGATCTAAACATGATCTAATGATTTCCTTAGATGATGATCAACTAGATCATTAATTTCATTTTCACGAAATTAAGTTAATTTCAAAGGTGTTCATACTGCCCCAAAATCATATGTGTTTTATTTACAAATCGAATGTTAAAAATTAAATGCCCCAAACACACTTACATACGTATAATAGAGTTGAGGGATTCGTTAGCGTCTAAAGTGCTGGAAATTGTGTGATGTACTTCTGACAACTGAACCATACGTGTCATATTTTTTATACTACATTTTTTTTATCTATTTGGTATATAATGGTATTTTCAAGTCATTTACAAATCATGCTTAAGGTCTATTCAAATATGCTTTCAATTTATATATATGTAAATGATGCATTTATTGATAAGTAACAGCACTATTAGCAGCAAATGTTCTTAAAATTTCATATTTTTCAGTTAGTATATTCGCATTTTAAATGAGTTAAGAGACAAGTTCCAAAACACGGCATACAAAATACTACAAAGTTGCTGATTTTTAAGATAAGAATGTAAACGAATAGAAAAATATGGTGCCATACTTAGTCAAAAGCTTTCCATTTTCAATTTATTTAACTTCGAGTAATCTCTTATGCGTTCCTTCCTTTTGATCACAGATAATAGTTGACATTTTACGAAGCAATTAATTGAGTTGTATTTATATTGGTTACCAATGTATTCGTCTTTGGCTATCTAGATTCACCATCTAAGTCATAATCCAGGTTGTCATTGTTAGCTGATATAAAATATAAAAAAAATATCTTCAGCTATACCTCTTCACCCTCTTGGCATGGGCCTCTCTACGCTAGTATAGAGTTAGTTTCTGACCTAAAAACTTGTCAATATTTTTATCTTTAACTTCAACGAATTGTTTGTCGGAATAAATGGAGGTCCTCTTGGCACGATCGTTTCTATGCTAGTGTAGAGTTAATTTCTGTTCGAACTTAAAAACTTGTCAACAATCTTATTTCTGACTTCAACGAGTTTTTTATCAGAATAAAAGGAGGTGTTATGAATAAAAAATTCTGAAGAAAATGAATTTTTCTTACTTTCAATCCGTTAATTGTTATTTGTATAAACAACGTCGCTAGATGTGACGATCACTTCTATATAGAATTCGTGTATAACGCTTAATGTATTAAGACCAAAACTATCTTCATATATCTGTCTTCAAACTATATCTTCATATAACATGGAGGAAAAAGGTGATTAGAATATAAAAATTTAATTTATTCTCTCAATAAATACATCTCATCTATACATCTCAATAAATGACATTCCATAACTTTCACAAATCCTTTTTATATAAGATGTAATAGTAAGAATAGATACATATGTTTTAGTATGTTTATATGCGTATTTATAAATATCAAAAATTACGATATGTTTTTATATTTAGTTCTTTTTAGATTTTTACATAACGAAACATATTTATATATGTTTGAAGTTATTTTCAACTTTAATGGCATGTCCGGAGAAAATATTTTTACAGAAAGATATATTCACTTTTATATATCAAAGACAATATATAAAAGTGAATAATATACAATCATAGAAGAAAATCGCAGAAAATTGTAACTATTAAAAACAATAAAATGTCGTTATTCAAGTGCTTCCTGTTTCCGGTAGATTGCATCCTTTACACAGTTCTTTGTGGTAAGTATGACTGGATTGTATATATCCGGATTATTGCTGTCAGTCTTGATGTACGCCGTCGTCGTCATATTGTCAATTGTTTCAGTGAACTTTATTGTATCTTCACAATGTTGATTAACATAAATTTTTACTTGTATATGTGCTTGAGTTTCATGAAGCTTGAGTGTGTGTATATCTTTTCTGTATTTGCATCATCAAATATGCTTGATTGTCACAAAAACTCTTTTGGACATATATTTATTGTTTTCTGAAAGAAAAATATTTACCAATTTATTCAATTAATTTTTTAATTATAATAAGGAATATGAATGAATACAATGTCAAGAAAGTTAAACCATGGGAACTGCATTTTCATTTATAGCTAAGGATAGTTAGGGCTAGTTTTAAAGGAAGTTTTAAGTCATACATAGGATAAGTTTAGAACCATTATTTGGTCGGCTGAAATTCGGAACTTTTATTTAATTGGCTTTAAAGACAAAAATTAGGAAACTTTTAACAACATAAGTAAAAAGCAGAGTAATAATTTTTTATTGAATAAAATACAAAAAAGTATAGAAATATATTTATTTTAATAAATAAGATTAAATTTCTAAAATGTTGGTTTTTTAGTTTTTTTTTTCTTTTATAATTGAGTTTACCCATCGTCAACCATTCTATTGTTGGGTAAAGTAAGAAAGTTGGGTGTGGGCGTTTCCTTGTCGTCAGATAACAATGAGACACCAGTATGATCATTTGTATAGCAAAGCTTATAATAATATTTGATAAACCTTCAATTGTTCAAACACAAATATTTCAGATTGATTCTGCATTTAAATTTTTCGTACTTTTCTTTTGACAAGTGATTTCTAAATAATCCTTAAGTGCTCGTTATTATCACTAAAAACTCAATAGTCTCAAATTAAGCCGTAAATGTTCATTTTTGTTCTCTCCACGTATCTCGAATAATATTGAAAATTATTTCGTTTTGCAACAATCTTTATTGCATGCATTTTCGTAAGAATTGTGTAGTACTTTATAGGTAGATATGCCTACCTAAAATGTTACTCATCTGCACTGTTTCAGTTCAACACTCGCTAGAAAGCATTTATTCACTTAAGGGTCTCCTTTTCTATTAACAGTTTCATTAGAATGGCAAATTGGTTTGCGATCCGAACTAAGGTATGTGGTATCAAAACGAGCCCATATTACGAACCTTAGCAAACTAGCACTGAAGAACTGCAAATATTTTAATACAAAAGAAATAAAATTTCTTGGTATGTTAAGGACTCTGGTATTTCTACTTATATGAAGGTTGGTGCATTCTAACTTTTCAGCGAAATAAAGTGTAGTTTCTAAAGGTCTTTAGCTGCATTTTGATATTCACTCTAAACGAAGTGATGCTACAATAAAGCATGTGATTATCAGATTTTCTCAGCATGGATCAATGGAGGCACATACAGTGGATGTACTAATTGTGCTAACTGCCATTAAATCCGTTAAATGACAATTTACTATATTATATAAATATATAATATATGTCTAGCATCTTAATAAATTGATATAAGTAATAGCAGATTACTTATATAAATTGATATAAGTAATAGATTGCAATGTATTAGATTGGCTACTTTTAGTACTGCCCTACTCTTCCTAGATATTAGTGTTTGTACTGTATTATGCAAATATTAAAAATCCTATATATTCTTATAAATATAAAAATTCAATAAAATTAAATTTTTCAATTTTGAACTGAAATTTATGGATCAATTGAAAGGGTCAGTGCGGAAAGTGAAAGAATAATTTTTTAAAATTGACAAGCTCTATTTTAATATTTCGCATATCTGCACAGCTCACTTTTTGCAGCATTAAATTCGGTTCGGTTGTAGCTCATTGCATCATTTATAATACAAAATGGAAAAAAGGAAGAAAAAATTGTATTTCAGTATATCTAAACTATAAATAATCCTGTCCATTTATTGTCCTAAGATGATTAATGATGTGTATTTTATACAAACAGAAAAAGAGCATTTTCCTAAGCATAAAAAATGAAATGATTTTCACAAACGCCACGCTCATCATTTGCCAATAATAGAGACTTAATCTATTTTCAATACATAAAATTTCAGCAGCTTTTTTGTTTTTATCCTTGTCCAAATGAGGATTTTATCGAGCCGAATTCTTCTGACTGTTTTGCATTATTTTATTTTATTTTATTTTATTTTTTTTGCTTTTGCTTTTGTTTTTGTATTTCTATTTTGATATTTTGTTTTGTGAAATTATTCATTTTCAATATTTATGTAAATTAAGCGATACTGAGACTAACAAAATGTGGTCCCCGTCCCAAAAGGCTGCTACTACTGCTGAGCTATCCACATAGATACAACACTCATACGCACCAGTGGGTAGTTCCGCCTGTAGATACTCGTACATTTATTTAAGTGTTAGATGCAAAATGTTTTGTTTCAGATTTGCCAACTTTGTTGGTAAAAATTTTCAATTTTTTAAAATCATTCACTTTTTTTTGTTGCTGCCAGATTCAACCAGTTTCGATCTTGTAATAGTTTACCAACGAAATGGAAATTTAATTGCTTCCACTAGGGCTGCCTACTGCTGCTGTTGCTGTTGCTACTTCTGCTGCTATTGTTGTTGCTATTTATGTGGCACTTGTTTTTGATTGGAGGCACACTGCAACACTGCAACACTGCAACAGTGCAACACTGCAACAACAACAACCGCAACGGCATAGAAGCAATGAAATTCAATATTGAAAATATGAGAAAATAAATGAAGGTGGTTTTTCAGCTTATAATCTACTGTACTAGCTACTGTAAGTGCTGCTCCTACTGCTGCTCCTGCTACTGTTGCCATCAATACATTTTCCGGAGTATTGTAGTGTTTTCAAAG